CCCCCCGTACCAATGAGAAAGTGTTGTACATGTATAAGTTATAAGTGATGACTTTTGTGCGAGATAAAGAACATGAGATTGAGAGAAAGATATAATAAGTGAAGACTTGTGCGTGAAGAAAAGAACATGAGATTGAGAGAGACATAAGTGAAGACTTGTGCGTGAAGGAAAGAACACGAGAGAGTTTGAACGACAGGTAAAGACTTTTGTGAGAGAGAGAGAAAGAACATGAGATTGAGTGAGAGAGATGTAATGTGTAAGTGAAGACTTATCATATGTGTGAAGGGAAGAACATGGGATTTAGAGAGATGTAAGTGAAGACTTGTGTGTGAAGGAAAGAACATGAGAGAGTCAGAACATTTACTAAAGACTTTTGTGCGAGAGAAAGAACATGAGATCGATATAATATATATAATTAGAACGACAGGTAAAGACTTTTGTACGAGGGAAAGAACATAAGACTGCCCCAAACCGAAAACGCTAAGGGGATCCGCAGCTCGGATCAGTAATAATATTGAAAAATATAAATATCATTTTTTTCGGATTTTGGAGTCTTTATAGGTATATATATATATATATCTATATTCAAGAATCCATCTTTAGAAGCCTAATTTCTTTATCAATCGTATAGCCTACATAGCTGGAAAATGCATTTGAGGGAGGTAGCAATGTAGGAAAATCTTCACAAAAAATATCTCTCTTTGCAGTTTTCTCAGATTTGTAGTTTATCTGACCAGGTTGCACAACCATTTTGAGCAGGTCTCAGAATGTTACGGTCAGAATTTATTCAAATTTGCGCACAATCTTTTATACACATATATATCTACGACCTTGCAGGAGCATTTTTGTTGTTTATGGTACACATTCGGAGTTTTAGGTCTTTTTTATTTTACAAAATCTTAAAATATTGGAGACCTGAATGTAGTGCATAATATTTAATAAGAAGGACTGTATAAAGCTCACAAGTTTGTACAGAAAATTCAAATTTGGCTCTGTAAGGTCAGTCTACTTACCAACAGTAATCACCATGCCAAATATCAGGCTTCTATCTTGATGAGTGTTGATGACTGATATAAGATCAAATTGGTTTTAAACATGCTGAATCAATCCTTTATTTTTGATTGCTCGAGATTATATGGCTAAAATCTTTAATTTTTGGCTTGGTAATCTTGTTTCGGACTATGTTACACCCTTTGATTCAGAAAAGCCGGCATGAGACCAAAAACTGTAGCCTTTGGGTCTTGACCATAGTTACACCCCCTTAATGTGTACTGCGCTATTATATATGACCTTATGCTGTTGCAAGCACTGTGCGGAAAACACTTGCCTAAACAAACAAAAACAAACAAAAAAACACCCAAAAAACTCTCTCACGTTATTTTCCTCATACAAAAGTCTGCACTGACAACTAATTAACAGACTTACTCTCTCTCTCTCTCTCTCTCTCTCTCTCTCTC